ATAGTCTCATTGGTCACCCAAGACAGCACACCTGGCAACTAATGTCGGCCATTCTTTTTAAAAAAAATGTAATTTTCTGACTAATATTAGTTAGCCAATAATGAGCAAATCAATCAATGTATTGGTGGTTAATCCTTTGAAAGAAGGACATTTTTTTTACACAGACACTTTACGACAGAGGGTATTCAGTATAGATCAGTAAATCTACATACATAAACACTACCTTTTGACAAATCCGCTGTGCAAGATAAAAGTAATTAATCAATCAGCGCGTTATCGGTTTATCCTTTGATCGATGTTTGTTTTTTGTAACTCGGCTGATAATTCTTCTCGCTGCACTTCCATGTGCATATTACATAACATGTAATACATTTTCAACATTGGACCTTTATTTATAATGTTGAGTATTTACTCCAGACACAAGAAATGCCAAATGGGAACCTTTGACGGGTAATCAAAGTGGTGTTTCCACTAGTTATACCTGTTATAAATTCATTAACTGACCATCAAGTGAATGATGACAAATAATGTGTAGGTTTATACCACGTAACACGGGTTACAACAGAGAGTATTAATTGCTGTATTGCATGTAAAAACTTATGGCCCGACACTGTTTTGAGGATACGAACAGATTAGGATTAGAACAGAACTTCATTGTTGCATAAGAAATACATATAAGCATTTGCTGTGTGCTAAAACTGTATGTACCTATCTACCTAAGTACATTTTTAGATTCTTCGCACAATGGCAAAGTGGGATTGTTTAGTTTACGGATTGAAATAAATCAAATGTCAAAATTAACGAACAAGTTCAATAAACATCTATGCAACTATGACATGCACACCTTTCGAGTCTCAATGAAACACATGTATAAGCTTAATCAATTCTGTTGAGCAGTTTTTGTGGAGAAGTGGATAGACTTAATCCCCAATTTCACTATCATCAGAGAGAAATTCAGGAAAATTTATCTAAGTTCAAAATTCTCTAAACATACAAAAAATTATAAAATACGAAAACAAAATATGAGATGCACACCTTCAGAGTCTCTATAAAAGACATATGTAAGCTAAATGAGTTTTGTGCAGTGGTTTTTGAGGAGAAGTGGATAAAGTACACCCCCTGTTGTATGGGACGAACTGGATGAATAGAGCCAATTCAAGTTCAAACATCTGTAGAAGTGACAAAATTAAGAAATTGGATGAACAAGGTGTGAGACGCACACCTTTAGAGTCCCAATGAAACACACATAGAAGGCCAATTCTGTTGAGCAGCTTTTGTGGAGAAGTTGATAGACTTCATCCCCTATAACAATATATTCAGAGAGAAATTCAACAAAATTTATGCAAGTTTAAACGGCATTAAAATTGGAAAAATAAATAAAATACAAAATCAAAATATGAGATGCACACCTTTAGAGTCCTTATAAAGCACATGTGTAATCTAAATGAATTCCATAAAGTAGTTTTTGAGGAGAAGTGGATAACGTACACCCCCTGTTGGATGGAACAAACACTGGCTGAATAGAACGAGATTCAACTAAGTTCAAACATCTGTAAAAATGACAAAATTAAGAAATTGCATAAAAAATTATGAAATGCACACCTTTAGAGTCCCTACAAAAGACATGTAGAAGTTCATTCAATTCTGCTGAGCAGCTTTTGTGGAGAAGTGGATAGACTTCATCCCCTATTACACTTTCATCATAGAGAAATTCAGCAAAATGTACCTAAGTTCAAATGTCTCTAAACTTACAAAAAAACAACAATAAAATAAAAAAATAAATATATGAGATGCACACCATTAGAGTCCCAAGAAAGTCTATGTATAAGTTCATTGAATTCCACAGAGCGGTTATGGTGGAGAAGTGGATAGAATACATTTCCTGTTTTGGACGGATGGACGGACGGACAGACAGACGGACGGACGGACGGACACCGAGGGTAACCCTATATGCCCCTGCCATAACTGGCGGGGACATAAAAATTGACAGATACAATTGCATTATTTAAAACTTTTTTTCACATGTCCTTATAAACAAATGATGTATGTATATATAACTGCAAAAGAAATTTTATCATTGTAGCAGGAATTAAGGTAATAATTTTGAACTGAAGTTAAATGTTCCCATATGGGCAGGATCATCATTAAAATCAAATTATTTACATAAACTGCATTAATAGATAAGAAAGACAACAAATGATCTGTTCAATCTTTATTTCAAATAATACAATAATAATTATATAACAGTCTAAGTAAACTTAGGCTCAGTATTATTCGTTACACTGCTATACCCAGTCTAACAAAACCTTGTGGAAGGTCGCGTCAGCTGACCTTTTCAATGGACCAATCAGAACACAGCTTACCAAATTGCGAAAGTTGACATTCGCACATACCAATTGAGCTTTTACCTCGAAAAAGTTTTGTACCCGAAAGATTCCGAATGCTATTTTCCGTACAATCGCTTCCGAGTGATGCACATGGAGCACGCCACAACAGTGAGTAAACAGTCGCTGAGAATATCGTTTTGTCACTATTCAAGGATGTCAGCTTGCGGAAATATTAGCTAATGATAGCCATGTCAACAGAAACCTAAAACCGTATATTCTGCAGGTCATATATCTGTGTTTTAAGCGGGTTTTCATTTGTTATGAGATCAGTGTTGGCGACCGGGGAAGAGAAAATCCATTTTGTAAGTCCCGCCAAACCCTAAATAGTAGCCGTTGTCTGATTGGTTAAATCTGTTCGGCCGTCTCGCGTTTGATTGGACGGTCATAGGTCGCTCAAAGGTTACCCAACGCGACCTTCCACAAGGTTTTGTTAGACTCAGTACAGCAGTGTAACGAATAATACTGAGCCTAAGTTGACTTAGATTTAATTATTTAATTATTATTCTATAGCGCCTAACTTCCATCCATACAGGTTGCTCAGTGGCGTTTTGCACAGGAGTCATTCAGAGTAGCTAGTCAAAGGCTTGCTTAAAGAGGTGTGTCTGAGATAGTCTTAAAATGTGGTTTGTCACAATCCTTATAGGAAGAGGTAGATCGTTCCACAGTAGGTGAGCTGAGGCAGAAAAGGCTTGATCACCATTGATGATTTCATGATTGGGACTGAAAGGCAAATATGATTGACAGAACGGAGAATACGGGTTGGTTGGTATATGCTGACAAAGCTTCTGACACGATGATTCATCACAGACACAGTTTGGGGATGGAAGAAGTATCTTGTATAGTCCGTTTGCAGTGAAAACGTACCGATGAATTTCACTTTAAACAAAAAAGTAATTCAAATAAAGTGAAATTTTGATTGCTAATCCTCATAACTTTATATTACCTTGCCAATTGAACCTTAAAATTTTATTCAGCTTAGGATAAAAGTTGTTTAACAAACGATCATAGTTTCAAATCGCTATTATCGGTTTGTATTACAAGGGGGGTTTGCACATTAAATGAAACCTTGATAACAAGAAGGGTTGGTTTCTACGGTAGTTAAAGTTAACGCGCATCACGCACCGCACATGTATTTGTTTCACTGTTCCAACTACTGCACGTACCCCCTTGTACCCAAAGTTCAATAAAATTCTGAGATTTAAAAGTTCAAATGGCAAGGTAAAATTATGAGGATTCGCAATCTTAATTTCACTTTATTTGATTTACTTTTTTGCTTAAAGTGTAATTCATCGGTGTGGTTCCGACTTTGCTGTTGCGAATGTTAAGTGACAGACCTGCAGTCACTTTCGAAAGCTGCTGTTTAGAACCTAGAAACTCTGTTTTGCTGTCATTTAATTTGAGAAAATTCACGGTCAGGATCTAACCTCACTCACAGAGGCTTCAATTTGATGGATTCCAGAAGCGGTTTCAGATGGCTGTCATCAGCATAGAGATGAAAGATCAAACCATGTTTCCTGATCATATCAACTATTGGAAGAATATATCTGCTGAAAAGCAAAGACCCCCCCAGATCTGGACCCTGTGGAACACCAACGTTAACTGTTGTCAGAAGTGAGGTAACCTTGCCAATCTTGACAACCTGAGTTCTGCCGGACAGATTGGATCAAACAAGAAACAACCTTTCCTGTAACGCAGAGTCTTTCCTGCATGCGAGAAAGCAGTATCGTGTGGTCTAGGATGTCAAAGCCTGATGATAAATCAAGAAGGACCAGCAGGGTGACATTCTGCTGGTCCATTGCCCTCATGACATCGTTATGGATACGAACAAGTACAGTCTCTGTGCTATGTTTTGATTTGTAAGCACTCTGGAAGCCTTTAAGCAGGTCGTTGTTGAGTAGGTGTCCTTCAAGCCTTCGTGAAACAATTTTCTCCAAACATTTTTAAATGAAAGACAGATTAAATATAGTTGTTTTAAGTCATCCAGATTTACATTGGCCTTTTTAATGAGAGGAGTGACGACCACATTTGATGATGGACTGATCAGGCCTACCAAAGAAATCTTTTGCAGAAAAATGCAGAAAAGCCCACATTAATCGTGGAAATAGCAACATAAACATAATACCTCGCTACTGAAACAGTAATAACGGCAACTTTAAATCGCTCAAACGTGCATAAAAAATGAAGAGCCTGCAACTTCGATTTTGTGCATGCGTACATGGAAGAGGAAGTCTCGACCGCATGTTGACATTTGCCAGCTTGGACAAAAGTTACATTCCCTTTTTAAGTATTTCTGTTGTGTTATTTGGCATTTATCATCATGATACTTGTGTGCACACTTGTTTAGTTTACATTCCATTCGTGAGGTGAGGTGAAATTGGGTTTAACGTCGTGCTTGAGAATATTTCGCTCATATGACGACGTGCATGCGTGTGTCTCGCTTGCATCCCAAGTACACTGCCAAGTCTGCTTGATAACAGTGTTAGTACCTACACCAAAATGTCGCACTCACTGCAATAAAGAAGTTGACTATCCATAGAACTTGGTTTTCCTTCATCTATACAACTTCTAAAATGCCTCTCAAAGAAGACTTCATATTAGTTCAGCAAAATTTACCAATGCTGAGCCAATTATTTCTCCTCCCTTCTCTCCAAACTCATTGTGACTTAGGTCCAGACAGGTCAAAGACAGGTTGTTCTTCAAAGCATCTATGAATTTACATGCATCTCTGTCTTGAAGCTGATTACCTGGAATCAATCATAACTAAAATCAATGCAAGAGAAAATCTGGCAGAAATCATTTAATGATGTCAAAGTCATCAAATGTCATTGGTTGACAAAGGACCATTTTGTCCCCCATTCTATGTACTTGTCTCACAAATCAGCAACAAAGTATGTGTTTTCCCCCGTCCATCTCCTCATGTTTCCTCCAAAACCACTGTATGTCCTGGATTTTGAAAAGGATGAGAGCCCCATTTGACCCACCTTATGTTTCAGAGTTTCATATTTAAAAAGTCATTGATGTTTACATGTTCTGGAGTGGTTAATTAGCAGAAACACATGGAAAGCATTAAAACTGGTGTGCAAGGTGAGCATAAACTTCGGTGGATGGAAAAAGAGTCATAGGGAAAAAAGTCATGGAAAAAAATGTCATAGGAATAATAACTATTATAAAACATCCTGTTCTCCAGTTATTTAATTTGTTTATACTGTATATTATATATTTCACTTTCATCGTCAATAATAAAAACATCCTGTTCTCCAGTTATTTGCAAAAACTAATTCAACAACAACTGTTATGAGGTCAATATATTGAAGAGACTTCAGAATCCATTCGTGAGGGACAGAGTTGTATGCTTTTTTGTAGTCAATCCAGCACATGGAGAGGTTGCGGTGATATGTTTTAGCCTCTTCCAAAATCATTTTTTGTACAAGAAGTTGATCCTTGCACCCCCAACATCCCTTTCTCGCTCCCTTCTGCTCTCTATGAACAAAACCATTGGAAGAACAGGAGGAGGACAAGAGGTTTGTCAAACACCCAGTGTTCAAACATGTGATAGGGCGGAAGTTTTTGGGATCAGTCGAGTCTCCCTTTTGGAGTATTGTGCGACCTTTGCAGAACCATGGAGGAACATCACCTGTGTCCACGAGAGAATTGAAACAGTGAAGTAATGGTGTTTGGACACAGGGGAACAGTTTCCAGTACTGGTTTCGAATGCCATCAGGCCCTGGAGCTGTATTAGATTTGGACTTTTTGATAACACTTTTCAGGCAATCTGATGAGATGTCTCTGACTGAGTTTGGTTTTACGCCGCTTTTAGCAATATTCCAGCAACATCATGGCGGGGGACACCAGAAATGGGCTTCACACATTGTGCCCATGTGGGGATTCGAACCCGGGTCTTCGCTCTGACGAGCCAACGCTTTAACCATTATGCTACCCAACCGCCCCTGATGAGATGTAGCAGACAAACGACCTAGATATTTTCTCATGCATTGCTTGGCCATAATCATGGACCCATGTTGCCTCCAGGTTACAGTCGCCGGGTACAGACCATAACTGTTTCATCCATAGGAGGCCGCTTGTCATGCTCACTATCACCGTTTGTTTCAGTTGTTTGTTTGATAAATTTGTTCTTCTTTTCCAATTTTTTTCTTTATTTCTGTCCATACCTTTATTCTTGCCTCAAGGGAATCGACAATTTTCGAGAAGTACCTTTTCTTTCGGTGTCTTGTATTGTAATTTTAATTTCTTCCAAATTGCCTTTTGCCTTTTAGACAAGGGATTCCCTGATAATCTTAGTTTAATCCAGGATATATTTCTTCTTGTTTCATTAAGTTTTACAAGAAACCGGTTTTTCCTTGGTCTTTTGTTGTTTTCATTAGATGGTTTTTCTTTTGAAACTGTGTGAAGTTCCTCAAAAGTTCAAGTGGCAACATAGACACAGCAATTCACTTCATGTAACGAACAGTCCGCAGAAATTTTTAAGGAAATAGCCTCATTTAGTAAATCAATTTCATTTTTGGAAAAGACACATTTAGTTGTTTAATTGGCCTCCGTTTCTCTAAAGGTAAATCACAAATTTCCTCATAAATAGAATTGAACAAACTGTAAACAGGATTTTCCGAAAGATCTGACACTGAAGAAGAAGAGTTTGGGTCAGAAATTTTGGGGCCAATTGGCAGCACTATGCCGGAAGAGTTTGCACCAGGAAGAGGAGAGAGGTTAACACAGACGTTCAACTGAAGTTTTGGGTCTGCTGCCCCTTACAAACGGTGGTTGATGAGGGGGGACATGATGCTCATGCAAAGGTTCCTGAAGGGCTTCAGTTATGGGCTGAACTGGCTCACGAGGCATGAGATTTTTAAGCCGCTGGAATTGACCTCGGAGAGTTTGCTCCGTCAGGAAAGTATACATTGGCATGGTATTGTCCCAATGCAGCTTAAGTGACTTGCCGTTTATGCGCGGATTTGCAGGCCATCCTGTCACTCTCACACACTCAAGTAGTGTGGTGTTAAGATGGTTTGACCAAGATATTCTTGGTCGGGCTCTATGCCCTCCCCTGGGACAAGTCCCATCTCCAGTATGGTTGGTGTCACTACCGGAGGAAGGCTGACTGGGCTGCTGAGTTGAAGGATTGTAGTCTTGTCTGTTGGTAACCCAGTGTAAAACCAGCTTTGGGGGGGTCAGCCCTAACTGGGTGATGTACGTTCAGTTCAGGGAATAAAATTCCAATATATAGGCCAACCACGAAGAGGCGTACATCATCAGGCCCTTATTATTATTAGAAGGAAATGCATAGTGTGAGACAGGATAAGTATATTCAAGATCTGAACCACTTTTGACATTTTGAAAAAAATTATTATTTTGTATACTGGTATGTTTTGAAGTTGTTTATGAAAAAAATTTTAAGCAAGCATTTGATTAGGAGAGCCACATATTTACTACAATATCTGCCATGTTTCGGTTCACACTGGAAGCGGAGAGTTGTATCAGTTTTGCCTGCAGGTTCCTTATAGAGATGCTAACAACATTCATACCTGCCAGGGACAGTGTCTTCAAGGTTGTGTTCACTTCCAGCATCCCAGCAAAGGCTGCTGCACCAGTCGACCCAATAAAATTATTGGCCAAATTCTGTGAAGAAAAATGTTGACGATCAAATTTAATGTATCAAGTAGTATAAGTAACGGGTGTTCTGCATCACTTCCGCTAATGGCATTATTTATGGCTAATTTAGCTCCTAGCAGCCCCTTACAAACGGTGGTTGATGAGGGGGGACATCAAACGATGTCCCTGTATAAAAGAGAATTTTTTTAATTACGAATCCACATTGATATTGAGGAAACAATTCAGCATTATTCTCCTATGATTTCTTTGGTTTTGGTAAGGAATGCTTGACGGGCTTGTTCTCTCCCTAGTTCTATGAATTTTTTTTAATCTTCTTCACTAATGCCATTGACTTTACGAGACTTTGTTCGAATCTCTTGTTGTTTCATCGTGTTGTATTTGGAAAGTTCCGACATCACTAAACGAAACTCTTACTAGCGGAGAGTGCCGTCGAGATATGATCTTCGATGCTATTTAGCTTTGCTTCAGCTAGAACGCAAATACTATCGTGTTTCAATGCCTTCGTTTGTAATCAACGTGAAATATATATAAATAGTTTTCAACTGATTTTCAGATAATGTCTTGTGCGGAAACTTTAAGATGATCAGATGGATATTCGTCAGAAAGAAAATTTTGGTGAGTGTAATTTTTTCTCTCCAAGGTCACAATGACCCCCTCGAGGATAGCGCAAGTCCTTGTGTCTCTCTGTATGTAAATCTCGCAAACATCTTGTTGATGTTTTAGAATCGAACAGAGTATAACTCAAATCGCTATTTCAACATCGGGGTTATCGGATGACATATAGTGTCATATTGGCTGGAATCCCTTGTAATGCGTCTTCGAATTCGGTCACCAACTGTAAACTCGTATCTAAGAGGGACGGTTTACTCAGCAGCACGTGACTTGTTTTTTTTCCGAGATGACGCTCACGAGTTCACTCCTTCTTTGCAAGATACATAAGTTCCCAGCACAATCCCATTATTGATGATTTTCGTGATGTAATGATCCTTATTCTCCATATACATGTCTCGACATCGTTTAAATCGCCTAGACCACCATCGAATGCTGCTACCATCACCCAGTTATCGTTGTTGTTACGAACGAGATTGTATTGAGCGTTGTTTACAAGTCCCCCGGTCTCGACATCGTTTAAATCTCCTAGGTTACCACCATCACCGCCAGAGGCTGTCACTTCTTTTCGCTTGTAAATGTTGCTTTTAATTCTAAGGCGTATAACTTAGCTTCGACACCGGGTTTGTCGAATCCTTGCGTGTCAACGAGATCGGATAGCGCTTTGGTTGAGTTCCGGGGATTATACCCTGCATTAACTTTTTATACTGTAATAACGGGAAAGATTCGGTTCTACCGTTGTTGTATGTTTCATCTTTCGCCCTGAATATTATCCGTTGTGCTTATCTGATCGAGGTGAATGCACAGCTCTCGATAGGGAAGGCAATTAAGTAATTTCGAGCCTGTAATGGTGGTTTGGGGTTGTAATTCATTCGTATGTAACCCTAGTGTTCTCGCTAAGGACTTGGCAAGTCTTATGGATTTTTCTCCACTGGTTAATGTCAGCGTTCCATACTACTCGTTCAGCTTGAGGCTGGCTCCTTGAGGTTTAAAAATTTCGTTGTTCAGCGAACAAACTCTATAATAACCGTCAGACAAAATGTGACGTTTGTTATCAATAAATGGCTTGTTGTTGTTTCTCTTGTTACTGATGTTAGTCCACCGCAGGTAATACGTGAGATCGCCGAGAGCTACTTCAAGTAGAGTGAAGCAGTGAGTGTTTTATCCTAAAAGTAATAACGTAAGCGTTGCCAATCTCACGCAACCGAGGATAGTGGTAGGTGCGGATGGTTCCCATTTTCGAGCTTGTTTTATCGATGTGTTTAAATATTATATGTTTCCCATAACTCTTGTGAAAACGATACATGCTTGGTTTTCGAACACGATGCAATTTTAGCAAAATCAATTCAACTTCGCCGTGTTGTGCGCAACAATGGGATGTGGCGTGACCGTGACCGAATCTAGTCGCTCAACTAAGTCAGTCCGTTTCTCGTTTAATTCCAGATCAGGTGCATCCTGAAAGAAATCAGTGCACCGCTTCCGCAGGACAAGGCGTGGGATGCGACGAATAATCTGTACGATTGGCGTGCATACGAACGTATTTGTGATGATTTTCAAATAAATCTGAATACAGTGAATCACAGTTTGGTCATTCCCATCATTCACAATATGACCCTAGTAGAAGCCAGCAAAAGGTTGAAAGAATGGGGTGGTAAGACGTATGCCATATCTTACGTAACAACGAATGAGTGGAGGGATGATCTTATGGCATTTGATGATAGTAAGGATTACCGAGGTTGGAGGTTTCAGCTTCTCGGTTGATGGAAGCTGCTTCTAATCGGACCGATCTTTCGTCTTGTAAGTTACGTAATCTTTCTCCGATGCGACGTCTGCTGATCTCATCATCGTCATCGTCCACTTTTTTAAGTTTTGTTTTCTCGTAAGCGATACGATCATCGAGTTCGTTCAGTTTGGCAATGTTATTCATGAGCGATCTGCGCATGGTTTGCGAGCCTTGTCTAGACCATGCAGTTCCCGAATGCTATAATTCTGCTTTCTAATTCACTATTGTTGATTGTGTCCAACACGTCGTCTAGTCCATTCGAAGCTTCTTGAGCACGTTGTGGTAGGTCTCTCAAATCGTCTTGATCTAATGCACTCGCCGTGGCCCCGAGCTCGGTTTGGGATATTTGTAAAGCCTTGGTGGCCTTTGCCCGAAAGTTTGGATTGTGTACTGTGGTAATCCACTCGTTTTAATTTATCCCGGAGAAAGTCAACACCATGGAGTCCAGCCTGTGTGCACAAGGCGAGTGGTTTTCCCGTACGGACATTTACAAGAGCGGCATTCGTAGCAGTTTTCCCTCTCTTATTGATTTTGAATAAATAATAATCGCGATATGTAGGCAGAACATAATTTTTATCTTGCTTTAAGGCATAGTAGTATTCATTCACAGTCGTTTTTAAAAGTTAATCGCCGAGGATGTTACCCATGACTGAGGTTTCATCTTCATCCTCCAAGGGCCTTTCATCACCCAAATCGTCCATCTCAATATTCGTCAGCCATTTTTGGTTATAAAAAACATACTTTCAATATAACAATGTCTGCGTCGCAATACGGGCAAAAACTAGACCCTTTTAGAAGATTGAGGGAACCCTTGGGAGTCAAAGCCATTCTTCAATTAGTGACGATAATGAAAAATCCGAGTACGATTGATCAAAACCAGACGCTGTTGGTTCGATTTCTTAATCTGGGCACGCCTGGCTTTTCAGATCACTTTGACTTCCCGAAAAGTAAAAGAGAACTCGTGTCGAACATCGGCCAAGCGGTCGATGGAAAATCAGTGGAAACGAGGTACAGAGTATTGACAACAGCAACATGTTTTTCAGCTACATGAACTCTGGAGAACCACGAGCGAACGCCGGAACATGGAATATCAAGGCATATGTCTGAAAGGATGTGATTTGACTAGGTGGTGCGTGGGCTATACTTTTACGCCGGCCGAGTTCAACGCCATGACGCCGGAAGATAAAGCTATAGCCAATGCATTCCTTGGCACAAACAGCATATCTTAAAAGACATGATTGCATGGCTCGCTGCTTTTATTACAATCTTCGCCATGCCTGTGACTCTGAGGTCCATCCATGGTATGAACCTGAACATGTCCAGGGCGTCATGGAAAATGATGCTTTCAAACTTCTGTGGAATAGGCCCATTTACAGCCTCAGAAGAATTCCAGCCAACAAACATGATCTTGTCCTTTTTGATAAAGCTAACAAAATTATTAATATCATTGAATTTTCTGTCCCTTTTGACAGCAATGTGATTGGCAAGATTCAGGAAAAGCATGAAAAATATGCGGACCTCGCCATTAAAATGTCTTGCTTGCATCCCAAGTACACTGTCGTCAGGCTCCCCATTGTTCTCGGTGCCCTTGGTTTGGTACCTCCTGATCTCTTGGCGCAGATCAGGAGAGTGCCCGGGTTCTCCACCGGGAGTACAGCCCTTCTGACACTCTAGGTAATGCAGAAGGCTCCAGTGTTCGGGAGCCTTCATATTCTCCGAAAAGTTCTTGGCGGGTTCGACTAGGCAGCGTTTCCTGGGAGAAGTCCCATTCGCTTTCTGGGCTGCGTGTAGAGGGGGCAAGAGTCCTGAGCTGATGATGAGCCTTACCAGCCTGACTGTGCCAGGATCACCCGAACCCTCTCTGCTGCATACTATCTTTAATCTGCTAAACATAATAATAAAGGTCAAAAGCAGTCTGCAAGTAAATGAAGTTACAAATTTTGTGGTTTATGCCAATCAAATACCATAGAATCAATTGTACTATAGATATATCAAAATATGGTCAGCATAGATTAAGGCATCCTAAAAAGTCCTTAGTTGAAGGGGAGGAAGGTTTATGACAAAAACATTACCAAACAAACAATGAACATATTTTCTTTGAGCATGTCAGCAAGGTAGTATGCCCCTGCTGCCTCCACACAGTTGTCTGCTAGGTCTACATGTTCCGTTACTGTGTTACGCTGCAAGAAACAGAACATACTTTGAAAAACAAGAAAAGAGGATGACATATGGCCCGTCAACATCAAATATCAGTTGTTATTGGGCAAAATTCTATGAATATATATTTTTCTAAAAATTATCTTTTTATAACAGAAGTCCCTGTTACAAATCCTTCACTCCCACATCTACTCTCTGTTGTGTAACAGGCCACTGGTTTATCACAATAAACATCTCCAACTATGTCAATACACAAAGGGCAATCATTTCTGATAAGACTTCTTGACCTGTTCTTTTCAACATATCTGTCCTGAAGAACTCCTTTGAAATGTTTCAAGTAAGGACTGGTCATGGCTTCCATCTATTAATGTATAATTTTGCCATCAGATCAAAGATTTCATCAGGGACAAAATTTGTTGGAAAATCCTGAAATTACAAGCTCAATATTTCAGTTACATATAGGCACATCTTTCCTGAAAGATCAGTAGTTCACTAATCTTTTCTCATGCCAGATAATAACTTTCTGTAATTTGTGCAAGTTGGCACATGAATACAATCCACCAAATCTATTATTGCAGAAAAAGCATTTAATGTTAGAGGCAACTTTTATCTTGACATGGTATTGCAATGATACAATGTACAATTCGAAAATCACACCAGGAGGACTGACTGACTGAGTTTAGTTTTACGCCGCTTTTAGCAATATTCCAGCAATATCACGGCGGGGGACACCAGAAATGGGCTTCACTCATTGTACCCATGTGGGGATTCGAACCCGGGTCTTCGGCGTGACGAGCCAACGCTTTAACCACTAGACTACCCCGCCGCCCCCACACCAGGAGGAAGAGAGGAGAGGGGACTTATCCTGATGTAATAGAGGTAGTACTGTTGTTTGTTAATTCCTACTAATACAATACCTTCAAGAATACACCAAAGGGAAATGTGACATCAAGTAATCCCAGATAGCAAAGAACAGTACATGGACTAAAGAAGCATGCTCTGTCTTGATGGCATTACTACAAAAAGACATATCCAGCATCACAACAATCATGGCTAAACCGCCACCAGATCCATAACATAAGTGCAGCAGTGATCTGCTTACCCTGGCAATGTGATCACAGTTAATGGTAACTAAATCCAAAAGTTGTATACTGTTGGAACTAATCTTGTTGCTGAGGCACATATCTTGTGAGCATTGCAGTTACCAAGGCAAGGTGTGGATAGCTGAGCTGATTGAAAACAGTTTGTTATAGTGATCTTTAGTCAGCCTGCAATTGCAATCTTCATGGTATCTTTGACCAGAGGCCCAGATAAGCTGCGTATCCGGGTAAAATACGCATATAAAATTTCCATTTACGCAATGAAAAAAAATTGTTGCATACCAATTACGCATTTAAAATGTTAGACACGCAAAAGTTTAAAACAAATGCGTACGGAATATATTCATAAAAATCGTTTGCGTAATGAAAAAGACATCGATTGCTATCAAGTTGAACTGTTAGTATAGGACAAGTGTTGTAATGTCAGTATAGGATGAGTGATTTTTTATGAAATCATTTCCATTATATTTAAGTTGGTTTTGATTAGGTATTACATAAGGCAGAACATACCTGCTTAGTAAACTTACTCAATGACATAATACTGAGGTGAGTAAAATGACTGAAATACGCACATATTTGAAAGCAGTGGGTAACGGAAAATGAAATACCCACTCAACATTCATAATACCCACTCCAAAAACATACAGTAGGTACAGTACCCACATGAGCTAAATCTTATCTGGAGCTCTGTTTGACTGACTTGGTTATGCATGACAAAAAGATGATCTTTAGCCAACCTGCAATTGCAATCTTCATGATATCTTAGACTGAATTGGTCATGCATGACACAAAGAGATGTTTGCTATGTATTCTAATGCAGTGGTTAAATGTTAATCAGTCCATAAAAGAACTTTGTGTGAAACCAATATACACCTTTTGATATCATGGAGGATTCTAAAACTGAGTACAGAGCTGTAGTTCATGTCCTCACACTAGAGGGCGCCAACACATTCAGAATCCACGAGTACAGTCCTGACCTGGCACCCAGTCATTATAACCTGTTTTGAAATGTAAAGTCTCACTTGCGTGGAAGACGATTTTCCAATGATAAATGCAAGGCTACAACAGAAGCTTGATTCAGGGACCAGTTTAGAATTGTCCATGATATCAGTAGTGTATCTCTTCCAGTTATCACAATATTAATACTGTTTGCTGCAAGGCATTGAAATTTTCACAGGTATCTCTTGAATGATCAATGAATGCAATACTACTTGCGGCATAGCTGTTTCACAACTTTAGGTAGTGAGTTCTCAAAACTTTTTGACCTCCCCTCGTAACTCTGAATATCTAAACATCAAAGTTTCCTCAAATAACCAAACCCAACTGACCACTGTGTTGTTCATTCGCAGACACTTCTCGTGCAGTCAGTGTTTATGGAAATTTAACTGAACAAAATGTGTTTGAGCAACTCTTTAGAACAGTCACCTACATCTACATCATGAAAAAATCTGTACTGCCAGTTACATCCAGAAACAAGTGAGTGAACTCTTGAATAAACTTGAGCATTTTGCTCAGGTGGCAATTGACCAAGATAACATCTAAATTTGCTAAAAATTCAGGATTGCATAGCTTAGAGATAGAAGAGTAAACAGTGCCACCAAACTTTACAAAGTCATGTTTCTCATCAGTATCACAATCTGATACATCTACAGAAGGTGAGCAGGGGCAATAAACTGAGTAGGTACATAGAGAATACTACACAAGGTCTCATGACATACGAATTATACAAAACGAGGTCGCAAGTTTCGTATAATTCGTATGAAATGTGACTGAGTGTGGTATTTCATTTATTACCCACGTCCTACCTGCATAAAATTGACAAAATATCGTATTTTTGTTGTCTTTATGCTTTCAAACCTGAACTGATTTTATAAAGAGGTTGCAGAAGAATTTGCATGATGTCACACTGTATTCACTGCGCCATTCTCGTCTGCCCCCTCTGTATCAAAGGTAAAGCCTCTTACATTAAACTACTCCGTAGCACCCCGTTTCTTAGTTTGCAGTTGCTTCACTCGGCTAACATCACTGGCGGAAACATTACAGTTATGGTTTTCGACAGACATAATGTCACAGTTCGATTCACAATTTATCAGCAACACGACAATGTTCGCAATGTTTACATTCCCACAATGCATCAGTTGAATGCAGCGTGACTAGTCAGGTTCATCTGGATGTAATGATAATAATTTACGTTGGTAGTAGAAATGAGACGTTCATATTGCCCCATGGTCTACATTAATCACAGATGTAATTATAACGTAAACTGTCATCAAACTGTTTTTCTGGTAACGTGCATCTTAACGTACGGGGGCAGACACGTCTATAGAACAGCGCGTCAGTGAGCGAGGATTGTTAATTTAGGTCACCGACACCGTAATTTTTCTGCTTGTATTCTGGCGTAGATTAATTGTAATTAACCTTAGAAAGTATTATATTTGGCATCTTAGAAAAGAAATACAGTTCCGTCTACCACCATGTATAGTGCAATAAAGTACACTTTTGCCCGGAACTATTATAATGTAAAGCGTCTATCTAGATTGACATAGTAAAAGTTGTAGAATGAATGAATTTACGTGTTTGTAATGAATGAGAAAGTAGTCCCGTCACAACATCACCTAACGGAGGTCATTGGTTATCCAATCAAATCATTAGAATGTCAGGTCGAGTTGTTGCGGCACAGGTCAACGCGATACGACACTAGTATGACGTACGAGATTAGTATGCACCTACCCATACATTGACCACGTGGGTAACAAAATGTTGTTTCTGTCATATTTTCTGAACATCTTGACATGGCAGTGTCTTTGTCTGAATTCGTTATGAGCAGGTACAACCTGGCAGATTCCATTTCCTCATCAAAACACTTTCCTTGAGGTAAAAACAAACTGGAAATTTGTCAACATCTTCTAATGGCAACAGTAATGTACAGTTTTGGGTCGTCTCTCACTGCTCCTTGATCAGACCTGGTTCCTCAACTACCACATTGTCAGAGCTGTGAGCACTCTCACACGAAAATTTAGGCAAGTCAGGAGAATCATCAATGAAAGTACCAGCCAAATCTTAAATGGAATCATTCTCAGAAGAAATTTGCCAAGCCTTGGCATAAGTAACAACATCAAAAAAAAAAATACCTGGAATTTATTTATCTATTTCCTGTACTTTCTGAAACGCTCGGCTCATGACAAACAACAGGATCAGCAATAATTTTCCACCAGTTTCTCAAAACCCCACTTTAACCAACCCAGACACCAAGTCAGTTTTCAAATTCATAAAATGGGGAGGCACATTTGTAAATCCACATGAATACTCTCAAAAACAACATATATTGATTACACCAATTAACACTTATCAGAGGGGTACACAAAGTCCGCAGTCTAGACTACCAGTTGTCCTACCTGTAATGCCAAATATAACATATGTTACATTTGACCACTTTCTAAATGGCATTGTGTATTTCATAGCTTTCGGCTGTGGGAGCCGTGCCAATTAACACTTTTTAGAGGGGTACACAAAGTCCGCAGTCTAGACTACCAGTTGTCCGACTTCCATTTTTGTGGAAGCCGCTGTGGCTGAGCGGTCTAGGGGGCTGACTTTGTGTGCTGGCGATTAGGTGCCTGACTCTGAGGGTGTGGGTTCGAATCCCAGATGGGACTCAACCCTACAAAAGTACTAGAATCTGTACTTTACCGAGAAAGTGTAATCCAAAATATAACATATATTACATCAAGCATGTGGTTTGTGTTTTAAGAAAATGAAATGGCTATGCTTCAGGAGAGCTAAAAACATTACCTTGAGTGCTGCAGCCACAGGTTTTGTTGAAAGACCCCCAAGGTAGTGATGTCGCATGCGGATATTCCTCTTGTTCAAATGCCGTTGTAAATATGATATTGGTACACAACCTGTACAAAATAAGACTTTCTATATTCAGTATTCAAAAATAACTTTTCAAATATCATATTTGCCATTTTACCTATACATGTTTGGGAATGTAACTTCATCAGGTCAACCAACAGTAATATGCTGCAGCAAAGGAAACATGAGGGTTTGAATCTCACTAAAACAGGTGGAAGGTCAGCAGGAATTTAATACATATTGACAGGAAATGTTTTGTTATTCGGATTTTAAGAAAGGCGTTAGTTTCACTGTTGTGAAAGAAATTTGATGTTCTTTGCAAGAATTACTTTAGCTTTCAACATATTGTTCTGTCCTGTATCTTGAAACACAACTCAATATAAGGCAACGTAAACATATGTAAACATTTCACCAAATGCATTTGTCCAGCAAGCCTGGGCATTGGCTGACAAACCTCCAGCCAAGATAACTGATCGCAGTTTCATTCATTTTGAGAAAAGTGATATTTTCACTGCAGAAATTTGATGTTCTCTGCAATGAAAATAGAACTTTGCTCACCAGGGGAAGATAACTGATCGCAGTTTCATTCATTTTGAGAAAAAATGATATTTTCACTGCAGAAATTTGATGTTCTCTGCAATGAAAATAGAACTTTGCTCACCAGGGAGCTGAGATTGATAAGACGTGCCGTTGAGATTGACATCCAATAACTGATGGGAAAAATACCAGCGCCTTGAGCATGCACTAGTACGTGGATATGTATGCTATATAAATATCCAATAATATTTCAACAAATTGTTCTGTCTTGTATATTGAAACTCAATATAAGGCAATGTAAACATATGTAAACATGCCCACCAAGCCACTGATCACTGTTTCATTCATTGTGTCAAGTCCACAGCTTGCTTCCCACTGTTCAAAACACTTGAGTTACACACTGACAGCATTCAAAACTGACATTTATGTTCAAGTGACTTTATTTCACTCAAATGGCATTGGTCATTTCCAGTATTTATGCTTATTGAGAACGTAAATAGTTTTTATATTTTCTTGGCCCACCATGTATGATTGTAGTTCTTATGTATTCTTGGTTATTATTAGGGCTAATCTTATTCAAACAATGACGGTGAATAGACTTCAGTTTACAGTTGGGAGAATTTTCTCAGTTTAATATCAGTTCAATATTAATTCAATTAAACAAAATAAATAGAATATTTCATGTGCCAAGTGAAATATAATGTATCTTTCATCTCATGATGTGAAGAAAGTCATACTTTCACTTGTGTCTACTCCATTCATGACAATATCACAATTTTTGTATGTCAGTATGTCAGAGACATCACTTGACACATGAAATATCCTCTATTTCTGTGCCATTATTGATATAACCTGAGTATACCACAGAAAAGATAACTGCTGAGTTTAAGACATGGTTAAGTGATATACTATCATGAAAATGCATCCATTAACCTGCAAATCATCAGTTGTGGGTATAAAAATATGCTGGATCAGGTTAGTAATGGTCTGTGGTCTGATAATGAAGACGGGGGAATTTACTTTTAAATGGTCATCAAGTATTTGCTACTATTATGAGGTGTTGCACACAGCAAAAAGTAAATAGAATTTTCTTCGAAATCCAAATGGTCACAATCTACCCCTGGTCCAGACCAGAGGTTGGTCCCATAAAACATGGGGACCACTCTAATTGACATTGAACAGTTATGATAAACCATGAAGTACTAGTAAGATGCTGAACCATCGCCACACCCATTTCAGAGCAATTAGATCATCCAAACAATGTAAAATCCATTCTTCTTATCCCATCACTGACATATTGAGATTAAGCCTATTTTCTTTTTTGGATGCTGTGCAAAAGGTTTTGGTTGTCCTAAGATAGGAGGCTTTCTTTAACAGAATAACCTGCATGCTTTTAATAGGGCACGGGGAAACTAGCTCTGCTGATGTTGATTCATGATCATACATCCAAAATATTTCATTGCTGAACCAACATAACGTGATGTTTCCTTACCATTTCCAGATAATCTTCAAAGCTGCCCCAATGTATTGCTTATTTTTGGGGTAAATTGATGTTTGGACCACGTAACTCCCTCAATACTCTATTCATGTTATCATGCACGATATGATAGTTTTCCCAGAAATTATTGAGAAAATCTTTGTTTCCAAAGACTGATAATAGAATTTTAAAATAGGTGTTACATTATGTATTAAGATACTCAATATGGGAGGCAAGTCTTGTAGGCTCAAGAATGAATCTTACTACATCAAGAGTTATCTCCCCTGGTGTAGCAGATGGCTTCCTTTGTTGACATGGCAGATTTGACAGCAGAAGAGAGAAGAAAGCTGTTTCTAGAGGATTTTGAAAGGGGTGTGAATAATGCAAAAGAAAGGCCCACGAAAATCAAGATTGGGATAATGTTTTCTTTTCTGATGAAAGTTTTGTCTTGCTTTTTCCGTACTGAGTGAAAATTTGGACAAAAGATACTGTGAAACCAGAGACCCTATGGTCTCTGGTGAAAGCTCTCTACAAATGCCCAAAACATAGCCTGAAATTGCCCATGCTCGGTGGGATATCATCACATGGAGTGGCACCGTTGTGTATTTTCACTTGAAATTTGACAAAGGAATGATATGTTGACATCTTAGATGACCCGAACACTGTATGAAGATAATTGGATTTTCCAGCATGACAATGACCCCGAACACTTTGTGGGCTACACAAAACAGTGGTGGTGGTACGAAAATGTTCAAGTCTTAGACTGGCCCAGTTACAGCCCAGATATAAACCCTGGTAGTGTAGGTAGATGAATTCAGTCGTGTAATGCAGGGCAAGGAGGTTTCACAGAGTACTGAAAAGACACTTAGACTGTAAGAGAGTCATATCTCCACATATTGATTTAAGTAAAACTTCTATAGGTTATATACATGTATTAGAAATTTGCCGAAACAAATTTCTCAATAATTTCTGGGAAGTGTAATCATGTGACAAGTCATGTGACTTTGTAGTGAGGGGGGTCGCTACCTTCAGTCTTGCTCGGTGTACTCCTCACGAACTACTACTAAAGTACTGTCGGAAATAGAAAAAAAATGTTTTTTTCACATATATATCTACAATTTATGAAGTTAAAATGTGAAAGTGTGAAATATCTGTGAAACTAAGTTGGGCCTAACTATAGTCTCAGTGGTAGGGAGATAGGAAACGTGAAAAAAGGACTTTACTGAGGAGAGATTAGTGCAGAAATGAGCAATGCGGGGTTTTTCTAAGTCCAAAGAAACTTATTTAGAACAGACCATGGCTTTATGCAAATTAGTAAGCGATGATATCGTATTTCAAAGGACACTTTTTAAATGTCTATTTTGAAACTAGACTTAACTTCATTATAAACGATAGCTGATGTAAAAAATACTAACTTTCATACTGAACTTATTAAGGATGTAGCTACCATGGAGCCTCACTGTCACTATAAAAAGAAACAGGTAGGAGAGGTCGTCTCAAAAGCAAAACTAGGACGGGTGTCGCAGACGGTGGTTGGGGTTGTACTGGGGGATTAGAGACATCAGCAACGATAAGATAATCCTTTAGGGGAATTAAACTGGTGGAAGTAAACGGTATGTCTTAACAATTAACAAATAATATCCAGTCCTGTTGATCTTGGGGTGGTCTTGCCACCTATATATTTTGAGACATTTAATACGATAGTTGACTTAAGCTTTTCTATGGGTATCATATTCTTTTACACATCTCACCATAAACGTTATGAAAGACACGTAAGATGATAATCAATAGATGAGACATATTCAATACATATGAAAAAAGCATAAAATATCTTTGAGACGACCCCTTGTGCCTGAAGGCAGCACTTGCATTTCATGCAAGATGAGTCGACGGGCCGTCGTCATACCTGGCTGTGCGACCTAATTGCCATCTATAGCCTGATCTATTGTTTTCAGCAGCTATTCGTATTTTTTCTAAGTTTTGCCCTATTTTACGAGTAAACATCCACTTCTGGATATCCTATAACGCATCCCCCTTAACGCCCAGTTCGGCCTATGTGGGTTATTTCGACATATGCTATTTGCAGTTGTGTAAAGTTTAGGGATACAGAGTAACAGCCTACAAACAGTTTTTTTTCTAATTCCGACAGTACTTTTATTTAGTGACCGGCATCGATCTGCTCAGTTGTCTGATGATGCCTTTGTGGATCAGGACTTCCAAGGCCAGTTTCAAGCTATAAGGGACAGCCTTCAGAGGATCAGACTACCTCCTGAACTTCGTTCAAGGTGTATGTTAATGACAAGGCCCACTTCAACACGCTGACCTGTTCGGCCCGGTACATGGAGACATCACTATTGGCTTCTATTATCGCGGTAGTTAATGCTGTCCTCATCAGGATTATGCACGCCTACTGAAATTTGGCATTTTATATATATTTTCACTTGACTGATGTTTAAGCTTCATTTCTGTCATAAATAATGTGGCACATAATCGCAACTCGTTCAATACGATCGCAACAATCCCCATTGCTTCGTTTGACCCGGAAATTGAAGCAACTCGATCTCTATTATTGCGGTATTGCTCATCTCTTACTATGGCACGCAGTAAAAGCAAATGACACTGTGAAACGTTTACTGAGACAAGTAACGAATCTAAATAGTTTTATTATTAAAAATTATTTAGGAATTTCATTCACATTAGTAATATCATCATGTTTTTAACCAAAACATCTGAAACTTCTACTCATTTATATACAAGGTAGAAATATCATAACTAAATAATGTTTTGCCGACTTAAAAAGTACCATACAATTTGGTGCCGTGTGCAGGGTAAAGTTGCATAATACGTCACTTCCTGCTGTATTTTTAGGACGGAAATTATGCAAATGACCTTAAAGTTATCGCAAGATTACTCTTGATGAAGTAAGTTTTGATTCATGCCAGATGAAATGGCAGTGGGGTCATACTAGTTTCAAAAAGATTAATACTTTAACCTTTCTCATAATGGTGTGACTAAGAAAAATCAAAAATTTCA